GGGATCGTGAAGATGTTGATATACGATCCAAGTTTGTTATTCTCCGATTGGCAAAAAAAATTAAGGAGTTAGACACTGTTGATGAAAGTCATATCAAAAGAAGTACCAAATGGGGGATGAAGGAGAAGAAAAAGACAAATTGTTGTAGCATCTGGAAGCTAATGTTGGTTTTCTTTGTTTTTTTTTTCTTTTATTTTTAAGCATTACCAAAAAGAATTTTGTAGAGGATACAAAATTATTATGTATTTGTGTACAACAAATACAATTATAATAGTTGTGGAATTAAATAGACATAGTTTTGTACTCCTAATCAAACAACAAATTATTATGTAGTTGTGACGGATGAATGTTGCGATGTACGGTTAAGTTGTAGCAACATATGACTCAAATGTTGCTACATATATTTATTCTTAGCAACATATGATTCACATCTTGCTACATATAATCATCATTGGCGACATATGCAACAAATGTTGCTACAGGTGAATCATCTGTAGCAACATATGCCACATGTCGTGATGGAAAAATGTTGTGATATACGCATCAGTGTAGCAACATGTGACTCAAATGTTGCTACATATATTCATCTATAGAAATATATGACTCAAATGTTGCTACATATAATCATCTTTAGCAACATATGACTCAAATATTGCTACATACAATCACCTATACAAACATATGACTCAAATGTTGCTACAGTTGATTCGTCCGTAGCAACATATGCCACATGTTGTGACGGACGAATGTTGCGATATACGCATCAGCTGTAGAAACATCTGACTCCAATGTTGCTACATATAATCATTTGTAGAAACATATGACTCAAATGTTGCAACATATAATCATTTGTAGAAACATGTGCAACAAGTGTTGCTACATATAAATATCTGTAGCAACATCTGACTCAAAGGTTTCTATAGGTGAATCATCTGTAGCCACATATGCCAAATGTTGTGATAGACAAATTGATAAAATAAACATTTTCTTTAATTATGTTGTCTTTAAGATAAAATAAAATAACATATTTCATAAATTAAATATTGTCTTTAATTACAAGCATAATGTCAAGGCTTTAAGAACTAAGATATTATCCCATTAACCCAAATATATTGCATCCGTTCAATTAGATTGTCACATAACAGTGAACTGGGTGGATGCAATTCTATCCGACTAATAAAGTGCTCAATGAATGCAATGGAATATGACCCGCACGCCGATCAACTTGCATTTTGTACCATAGGTTCTATTCGACTGTTAAATTCCCATGGTTGAGTGAGCAACTTTTTTGGAAAATGATTCATTATTCCACCCTGCTTCAGCAATTTGGGAAGCAACTCGAAGACAGGTTGTATGAGTGTGAAAAACGTGTCATGTTCCATAATCACCAGGTTGCAGTCATAAACATTAATCAATCCCTTGTGCAAGAGAATCTCGATAGTCACGAGATGGTTACCCGAAATGTTCATGAGTGTCAAAATCCTTTTTGCATCAATCCAATCCATGCCTCCAGGAGTTGGCCTAATACCCTGACATAGTCATTCATATCATCATCCCATAAAAAGTTATCTAGTAACTGACTCATGCTTTTACCACCTGATATTGTTGCCTCATCACTCATTTGATTATATCTATGTAGGAAGTTCATACAGAAATTAAGATCGAGGATTCTATCTCTGAGATCATAGTAGTCCGGGTATTTCCAATGCCTCTGATGCATGAGGTTAAGGATTTCGTCAATATACTGAAATAAAAAATAATATTAAATAGTTAGAAAAAGTAGTAACTGAATAGACATAAGAAATAGTTAATAATACAAAAAGTAGGATTACCAGTCTTCCCACCAAACTGTTAGGCTTGTCATGTTCCTGAAATCTTGACCGGTAAAAACATGCATGTTGTATTCCATTCGAATATCCTTTGGATCGGTCACCTTAATTGCTGCTTCTTTTTCAGCAACAGAGGGACGCCTATAAATATTCAACTTTTTATACTCCGTCACCCCTTCCTCCATTAAGCCCCTTGGAATTTTTCCAAACATCTTCCTCTTCAAATTTTTCATTGCCTTTGCAAATAACTCTTTTCTCTGCTTGGCCTTTGGAGTACATGAATGTCGATACAATGCGCTTCACACCCCTCTTGTTTTTTAATTCATTGACAACTTCACTCAATTTTTGTAGATACATGATAGAATCTTCATCATTTTTCTTACACTTCTCACAGAGAAAGCCACAACATCGTTTACAAGAGGTAGCCCCTTTGCGTTGTCCTGCACCAACACCAGCAGCACCACCAATACAAGCAGCAGCATCACCAACACTAGCAGTATCATCAACATCAACACCATCATCAGCATAAAAAACAACAAATTCATTACTGACTTTATTAGGAACTCTCTCTCTCTCTTTTGATGGTTGTTGCTCCACCCAACACCATTTTAACTCTATCCACAACAGGATCAAAAATGGTTTCAACCAACCTTAGAGTTATTAGATATGACATTGCAATTCCTAATCTGTTAGGGTAATCCATGGATGGACAATCTAAAATAGTAAAAATGAGTCATCAGTAAGACTATTGCTACAAATGAATTGTCTGTCGCAACATGTGTCACAAATATTGCTACAGATGAATCATCTGTAGTAACATGTGACACATGTTCCTACAGATGATTTATCTATAGCAACTTTTGTGACACATGTTGCGACAGACAATTAATCTGTAGCAACAGATGAATCATCTGTAGCAACACGTGACACAAATGTAGCAACATATGCCTGTAATATACTAATAATAACTTACTGCATCAAAAGGAGGGTTCAAAAGATCTGGAATATTCTCTTCTTTGGTAGTTTTTGTTCTTGCCATCAACCACATCATCATCCTTGGGGATGATGTCTCTTCTCATGCAATTACTTGGTGGGTAAAATAAGGAATGAATTCAAATGTTCAGGCCTGTAGAAAAGGAAAATCTGTCAATAATCAAATGTTGAATTATTACTTATTATAATATAAAAAGATTAAAAACATTCAGCTTTACCATGAAAGCCCATGGAAAACCAAACAAGTTGTTGTTCTTTTCTTCTTAATTCCTCAACATGTAGTCGACAGTTATATGAAAGCTCTCATGACCCCATGGGTAGTTCTTGAAAGCTTCAATATTCTAAAAGATTTCGACATACTTTAGAAGTATGTTGTTGCCCGGATCCTTCGGCAAAAGAATATTATGTGTAAACCAAAGTAAGCATAATGATTACTTGTGCTTCCTTGTTCTATCCTCCCATTCCAACAAACTTAATAAGTCAGAATTTTCAAAGCTTTTGCCAACAAGGGACATCAAGTCCTGTTTCACACTTGGCAGTTACTGTTGTTCTACTTCTTCTACTTCTTTAACTATTTTTTTTGTCGTGGTTCTATTTTAACAATGTATTCAGGGATGGGCTCAACAGGAGGATGACATTTTAGCCCTGTAACTATGGCAAACTCTCTTATGCCAAAGAAAACTGGCATGCCACAATAATTAATTAGAATCTCATCCTTCTTAGTGGGATTTTCAATAATGAACTTTCTTTTCAAAAGTTCATACACGGTGGTCATTTGAAAATGTGGATCAATGGGTAAATCAAGAAAATGACCAAACAATTATTTCTGAGAAAATCTTCCAATTGATTTCTCTTGAGGATATCCCCGAATTAGACGAAAGGTCTTTCCAGGACTGACCTAATGATGCTGTCACCATTAGGATAAGGCTGCAGATGCACAGGGAAAGTGTCTGCATTGATATTTTATTCCATCATCACCACTAGCATTGAACTCTTCATGAAATTCTTGTTCTTCTTCATGAGCTTCATTTAGTTTTTCTTGTTGTGTCACAACTACTACTTCTATATTCTCCACTTCTTCTTCCTGAACTTCATTTATTTTCCCTTGTTCCTTAACTTACTGTTTTCCATTTTCTTCCTCCACTACTTCTATTTATTCATATTCTTTTTGACAAAATTTTACTTCTACTTGAGAAGAAGAAACTACTTCAGTTGGAAGTTTTTCTAGAAGTGTAGTATTTTCGTTCCTCTTCCTATGAATTTTAGACCTAGCCTTCTTTTGGATCTTTGTTTGGTCAGACGTAGCAATATCAAGTTTTTTTTACAGGAACCATTATATTTGTATCTACAACCAAAAAAATAAAATATTTGAAAGCCACACACACATGAGCTATAACCACAAGTCAAAACAGGGCAATAAGCAGATAAACACATGCATTTCAAACCCTAATTAAATATTACCTTACCTGAGAAGATATATATCAACGATAAAGTAGAAATTATGAGGACAACACCGCCTTGCTATAGAATATGATCTGTGAAGGAAGGATTAAGAGAAAAAGAGAAGAAGGAGTAGTAGTTGGTAGTAGAGAAGAAATAAATAAATTTTGAGGAATACGAAACGACATTTATAGAAGAGAGAGGAGAGAGGGAAAATGAAAATTAAAGTCGTTTAATTTTTTTTAATTTTGACAATTCAAACTGTGACATATGATGCTACATATATAATATTTGTTGCTACATATATACGAACTGTTGCAATATATAATTTTTTTGTATTTATTACTACATAAATTACATATATAGAAGAGAGATTAGTGTAAATAATTAAATCTTGTGGAATACAAAATGACATTTATAGAAGAGAGGAGAGAGGAGAGAAGGAAAATGAAAATAAAGCCATTTTTTTTAATTTTGACAATTCAAACTATGGACATATGTTGCTACATATATATTATTTGTTGCTACATGCATACAAATTGTTGCAACATATAATTTTATCCTGTTTATTTCAATAAAAATTACATGTATAGAAGATAAATTAGTATAAATAACTCAATCTTGTGGAATACAAAACGACAATTATAGAAGAGAGAGGGAAAATGAAAATAAAGTCGTTTATTTTTTTTAATTTTGACAATTCAAACTGTGACATATATATACTATCTGTTGCTACATTTATACGAACTGTTGCTACATATAATTTTGTCGTGTTTATTACTACATAAATTACATTTTAATTAAGACTTCACCAATTGTTTTATACAAATTATCAACAAAAAGGTAATTCACAATGATATGATTGATATCCATAGCCACCTATCTAATCAATGGTTGTAAACGCAATATTTTCAACGATCTTAGATTTTTTTTAGTTCTACGCATCTCTGGGTCTTCATTATTAATAATGTAACCATTTCGAGCCTTTACAATACCATAATCCCATAGGAGTGAATTATATCTCAAGCGAAGGGCGTCATCATTAATTCCACATGATGGTACTTGTAATCCATCACTCAAATGCTTAGCATATGCAGCAACAAAAATTCCACAATCTCTACATGGTATATCATCAATCAGAAAATATAATAACATCACATTTCGATAGTCGTAAGACAAAATAATATTTTGACACTTACATACTACTGCTTTCTTGTTGGGCAATACCAGTAACATGACTTACTTCAAATGGGTGAGATTTGTTCTTTCCTTGGTAACATTTAAGAACTGACCAGTTGGATCGCTCATTTTGCAAAAAAAAAAATCCACTCAACTCAAGGTACATTGGCAACATTGTAGCCATCTTTTGAATCTCGGAGGATAGTTTTCTATTAAACCTATTTGAGGACATGGAATCATACATTTTTATGCACCGTTCCTTCAATACAACGACTGCCAAGACCCAATGGAATTCCCCATTACTATTTACAGGGAAAAACATCATCCGTCAAGTGCCAAAGGCATTCCAGAAGGTATAGCATACCCTTTTATTATGTCAATGATTTTATCCTCATATTCACTAGAATTGTCAATGTATGTTTTCAAAAAACAACTAGTGGTGGTATATTGATATTAAGACTGAATCTTTTGCTTCGACTTCTTACGGAAATAGTAAAATATAACATCCACACACTGCACACATGCATCAACAAGTGTATTAATGTAATTGTATATATTCATGTACTAAACAGTACATATAAAAGTTAGCATGGATTTACCTCATCATTCCAGCACCTATTGGGTTGAGACATTACGTAGAACCAGTCCTTATTCATTGGAAATGCAACTACAAAATCAAGTTCGTCGAATTCAAGATTTGAACAATTGGCTAAGTAGTGATCCTTCTTGTTTCCTCTGCAACTGTATAATCATTATAAATTATTACATATTGGACAACAAGAAGAAATTCTAATAATAGTTGAACAACTTTACTTGTTTTACTTTACTTACTTTTTTGCATGATGCTTGTAAAGACCCTCTTTTATCCATTGAGAGATGGATGACATTAGTTCAGTTGGACCCTCGCCGTCAATGTTAAAACCTTCAAATAGATATTATCGCTTCACATCACAACTAACAACTTTGACTTTCTCCCCTTTCTTTTTCTCTTTTGCTTTTTCTTTCTGCTTCTCCTTCTCTTTCTCCTTCTCCTTCTCCTTCTGCTTCTCCATCTCCATCTCCTTTGCCTTCTTCTTCTTCTCCTTCTCCTTCTCCTGTTTTGCCTTCTTCTCCTTCTCATGTTTTGCCTTCTTCTCCTTCTCCTTCTCTTCATTTTCCTTCTTCTCCCTCTCCTTATCCTCCTTTGCCTTCTTCTCCTTCTCCTCATTGTCATTCTTCTCTTTCTCCTCCTTTGCCTTTTCTCCTTTTCTTTCTTCTCAATAATCATAGAATGTTTTTGAGAAATAGAATTTTTCAACCTCCCACATTTCAAAGGCTGTGAAGTCTTCTTGGATCTTTGCACATCAATATTATGTGACATTTCCATAAAAATCAGTGGGTTTTTTAACACTACTAATAAAATAATCATTTTGCTGCTCACATTCTTCGCATAGACAAAAAGAGCATCTCATGTTATAAGATTTTACAATTCATTATAAAATAATAATAGAAGTATGTTGCAACCAATGGATAGTCTGTTGCGATAAATTAACATTATGTTGCCACATATGTACCTGCTATTGCGCAACATATCCATCTTATGTACCAACAGATGCATCATATGTTGATACATCTATACAGATTATTTAAACATTTGAATCTTATGTGCCTGCAGATGACCAACATATCAATTTTACAATTCATTATAAAATAATATTAGTAGTATGTTGCAACTGATGGATAATCTGTTGCGATAAATTAACATTATGCTGTCACATATGTATCTGCTGTTGCGCAACATATACATCTTATGTAGCGACAGATGAATCATATGTTGACAAATTTGTATATATTATTGCAATATTTGAATCATATGTGGCAACAAATGACCATCTTATCACTAAAATGTAGCAACATACGCTAAAATCATATCAACAAAATGGCTAAAAAAAAGAACAAAAAGAAAATGACTTTTCACTGAATGATAACATTACAGATACATTTCCTCGGAATAAGGATTTTTTGAGTTGGCTGATTTTCTTTCAAAAATGATAAATAATACACACCATTAAGTCGATTATTCAATTTTTACACCTACAGAACATTTTATTTTTCATTAATCCAAGAAAAAAACTTCCAAAATTGTAAAGTATTTCAAAAAATAACTTACCCATTTCTAGTCGAACACGATTACAGATCAGAAAGATGAGAGAGTAATGGAAGCTGGATAGGAAGACTAACGACGCATTTCCAAATTTCTAAGGAAGAAGATGAAGAAAAGAAGACAGAGAAGAGAGGATGGAAGATGAAAAGATTTTTCTTTTTAAATGATTTGATTTGAATTATAAAAGTGTGTTTTTATATTTTATAAAAACTTAGAAAGTTTTGAAAATGTTAATTGGTCCCATAATTAGTTAATTACATTTTAAAGAAGATTTGACCGGCTCTTGATCAATCTGTCACCAAAAACAAAAACGAGACTTATTTGACACCTTTGGCTTAATTTTCTCCACTTTATCATAAAATAAGCCTTGTTCCTTTTTCGTCCTCTCAAAACCTCTCCTTTGCCGCTAATCAAAGCACTCGACAAAACTCCTCCAACCAACAAGGTAAGTATTTCACAATTTTCTGCACACTCAATCCTCCATTGGTAGAAAATAGTTGGCATGTAGTGGAATCTCCTTTGTGTTTAGTGGTGTATATATATAGTTGCCCTGTATTCTTTTCATTCTTTTAATGGCTAGCTGAATGTGAGTTTCTGTACAAAGCAACTTCTCTAAGAGTTGAGGGGCAGAGAAGATGAACCAACGAAATTGATCTGAGTTGCATTGCACATTGCTTCAAATTTTTGTGTTTCATTAGGGAACGAGTTGTTTAGAAATAGACTATAATTTTACTCAACAAAAGATTGAGGTTTCTTCCGCTCAAATGATTATATGGAAAATGTTCTTAGAAAATTATTATCTGGCTCCAAATTGTCAAAACAAGTATTTCTTCAACTTAAGAGATGGAGTTAAAATATTCTAAATTTAAAGTCAAGACCTTGGGAATATATGAATATAGAATCTTCAAATTGTACATTTGGCTAAAGTGAATTAGTAGACAAGAGACTCAAATTGTCATTGCTAACATTGTAGAACTTGGAGTTATTCATGTTTCTTTGTTGAGGATTATTAATAACTAGTTTCTAAGGACGTGCTCCGCACATGTGTTTCATGTGAATTTTTATAGATATGTTAGAATGACTAAAGTTTTATGAAAATATATATGTAAATTATAATGAATAATAAAATGTAACAATACAAAATAAGAATAAAGACATACGCAATAAAATATTCATAGAAAACAAAATTAAGAAGTCTAATGGAGAAAAAAAAGACAAAAAAAAACAAATCTAAGAAAAAATATAATTTAGACATTATTCTTATAAGATTGATGTATGTATAGATGAAAAAATAAGTACATAACTTTCTGAGTTCTTATCGACTCCTTCCATATCCTATCAAAATTCTAGAGGCTTCTTCATCTACTTTAACTATAGAATAAATGTAGCCTAATAATCTTGGTAGGAGTTTCATGAGTTAAAGAAGTTGAATTTATATAGATATAAAAGAAGGAATATCAAAAGAAATCTTAAAGTTTTAGTTTAAATATTTAGAGGTTATGAATATGAAAAGATGAGATTTATGAATATTAAGAGTATAAAAGTTGAATAAGTAATTAACAAATAATAATAAATAAATGAAGAATATGAAAAAGAAATTAAAATTAGCAAACCATGTAGAAAGAACAATTAAAGTTATTATCACGTCATAAGCGTTAATGAATCTAAATTTGTGAAGATAGAGTTGTTCTTTAAAAATAGTCAAGAGGACAGTATCAATGTGTGTCTCCATTTTGCAGATTTGCAATCTTTAAATTATTAAATTTCGTTATTTATCATTAAGGATAATACTTTATCCATATAAATTATATTATTCATGTTAAGGAAAAAATTATGAGAAGAGGAAAAATATAGCAATTTAGGTAGAGACCATTTTTTATAAAAAAATTATAATTATTATATACATATAGATTATAAATCATAAATATTAATTAATTCTATATTTAATTAGAAATTAATCTTAAGAAGTCTAAAAGTCATTAACATTTTAATTAAATTTATACAATCAAATATTTAAATAGTTTATAACAATTTCATTTATAGAAGGGGTAAAATCGTAATTCAACTTTTAACTTTTTTTCTTCATGCTTTTAGTAATATATGATAATCAGAATGTTATTTGTAGTTTTGATGATTTGACAAACTTAGGGACCTCATAAAGGTACCGGGTTTTCTACTTGAGTATTGCAGGTGTCTTGTTTGAAGTATTGCAGATGAAACAAACCCAGGGACCTAGTAAAGGTATCAGGCTCTCATAATGATGAGTCAGTCGACTGCCAGCTGGAGACGGTACAGAAAGTAGGTGCACACTTCCCGATGGCGTCAGAAAAGTGTGACCTTTCCAACCAATGGCAAAGAAGTTTAGGAAAGTGACTTGCCCATATAAAAGGCACTTTCCTAAACATTTGGCTTTTGAGTTTTTGCAACTTGATAAAAACTTTTCAAGAACTCTTGCAAAAGCTATACAAAGCAAAGGCAGAATTATTCCAAGAACAACAGCAACATCTGGAATTTATCGTCTAGTTGTTTAGGAATTTATTTTTTTGTTCTTAAATTGTAAACCACTCCTAACTCTATAAAGGAATTGGTGTGTTGTGTTAGAAGTCTAGGTTGTCCAGGTGGGATAGCTTAGTGGGTAGATTGGTTTTTCTACTTAGGCTTGTTGAGCAATAGAGGACTATTGCTTAACAGTAAGATTGATAACTCTTTCTTACGTTTGGTGTAATCGTGTTTTGCTTTTGCTTTTGAAGATTAGTGAAAACGATTGAAAATCCTATGAGACAGGTCGTGGTTTTACTCCCTTAAGCAAGGAGGTTTCAACGTAAAATCATTGTGTTGATTTTACTGCACTTTAACTTTCTGGTATTTTCTGAAGTAAAGTAAAGGACCTGGTCCATTACTTATTAAGTGAAGGCATACATTCTATCAGTTTTGTATGAGAACTGCCATACATTTACGTTGCTAATCATATATAAGGCAGAATGTACTTATACAAGAGCTTTATACATTGCTTATCATGTACAGATCATAATGATCAGAATTCTCAAAATAACATTCTGTTATAGAGTACTCTTAAGCCACTGTGTTGTTGCCTTATACAAGAGCTTAAAGTGTTATGGAATGAAAGAAGAGGGAACATCAGTATTTATACAAGAGCTTTTTCTCACCAACATTACTGATAGACAACATCAAAAGTGGATCAAGCTTCTAGGATAAAATTCTAGGCCCTCTGTGAAGTTAGTTGTACCATTGACCAAGCTTTGTGAGAATGCCATAATAAGTTTAATTTTTGAGATAATTTGGTAGAATATACAAGAATAGTATTAGATATGATATATTACTAATAATGCAATTAGTTATGTTAAATATGTAATGTATTTGGTGGTCCCTGAGACTTGTAAAGGTATTTATGTGAGGGAGGTGGTGGAGACTTGTACACGTATTTTGGTGATGGAGGAGGTGGTGACTTGTATATGTACTTTACTTATGGAGGTGATAGGGACTTGTGGACGTATTTAGATGATGAAGAAGGTGGTGACATGTACACGTAATTATGTGATGGAGGAGGTGGTCACGTGTACACCTACTTCCGTGATGGAGGTGGAAGTGATTTTGGCGAGTATGAGAGCTGATTTGATTCTGTTGATTTTGAGAGCTAATTAGTAAGCCTACACTAAAGAAAGATGGAGTAAATTGATTTTCTCACTTGTAATTTAGGAGAAGCGATAATGAAATTACGGAAAAAGATTAATTTAAAGAAAAATGATTTGTTGATAATAAATTCCGGTATGTGTAAACTTTAAGATTCTGTGGGGAGATAATTGTCAGCTTTCTAAATCTATCAGTAAAGGTAGATGTAAAATGTCACGGGAATGGAGCGGCTGAACAAGAC